GTAAGGAGAGGAGAAGAAATCAAGAGGAGAGATGCCTTCTTTTACTTCTTGAAGGTGGCAGCAGACCTTGGCCTGGTCACCATGGTATATACTGTGTCATATTCCTCTCATTCTGATTTTTCTTTATATCTGGCTTTTGGACTTTTGGAAATCCAATTAGGTTTCATCCTTAGGTGACCATTTCATCTCCTTTGTCCAATTGAGAATAATTCCCAGCTGCTATCAAATTATCTGCAATTTGATTTTCGATGAAAATCATCATGCTTTTAATTTCTTCTTACATTTTTCTTAATGTGAGGTTGTGAAACCCCAGAAAAAAATAAAATAAAATAAAATAACCTAAAAATCATATAATTAAATTAGTTATTGAAAGTATAACAGCAATGATGACAAAACAATCACTGTTTATACATCAGCAATATGTATCAAATTAATTCCTCAAGATATTTCATAATTGCAGTCATTGACAACTTGTTTTTCCACATGATTCATTGCTTTAAATAGAAAAAGGAACAGAAAATCAAACTCTGACTCATTCCTTATCAGTTGCCTCAACTCCACGTCTCTCATTTAATATCTTGACTCCCATGTACCTGCATCAAATTTTTATAAAAACATCAATTCAGTATGAATATCATGAAAGATAATTAAGAAGGTGACTCTAGCTAGGTTATATATACCTTCCAAGCATCATGACTGTGGCTTGAGGATTAGTCCCCGGGGAATAATTAAATGTTGATCCATCGATAACCCTAAAAGCATCAATGCCAAGAACCTTATAATCACTATCAACCACCTTCCCAACTTGGCAACCTCCATGGTAATGCCATATAGTCATCACAGTGTCCCTGCAATAATCCTCCAATGGCATGGACATGTTGTAACGTTTAGGCAACAGATTTAGAGGGGCACTCGCAGTCAGATTGAGGAGCACTGGGAATGGCATTGCATCATATCTGAATTTAGAGAATGATTTTGATTCTATTATTTTCTCTATGGTTCGAATGCCCTGGACACATCTCTTTAAGTCCTGGGGCTCCTTGAAGTAATTGAAAGTAACGGACGGGTTGTCATTTGGGTTGCGGGTTCGGAGCTCCAGATGGCCTTTTGAAAGAGGGCCCATTATCTTTTCCAGGATGAATCCGCCATTGAACGCAGCCTGGCCCATCTTCTTCCTGGACTCAACCGGTTGGGCTATTGCTTCTGGGCTCTTTTCTTGTAGTGGGACTGTAGATAACCGATCAATCTGCATCACTCCAAAAATAGTAAAAACAAAAGATTAATAATTTCTATCATGAAAATGCATTTTAGAGTTGAACGCTCTATTAAATTATAAAATATAAATTATTAGAATAAATTGTAAAACATCAATTGTCAGATTATGGGTGAATTTCTTAATATTAGAGTTTTTTTTATTTAATATATTTTATTTTACAATTCAATACAATTTAAACTATAAAATAACAAAATCATGTGAAGTTATATAAATAACACGACTGAGAGAAGAAAGAACATAAACCTTTGGAGAAAACATTCCATAATCTTTTGTGCCAGCTCCACCGGCAAAGTTTTCGCCACTGGCGGCGTCAATATAGCTTCCGAAATGGGTAATGCCGACGACTTGGATGAGTGAAACCTCCGTAGGAATGGGAGAGGGGACGAAAACTGTATTCATGGAATTGTCGGACACGCCTTGCCCAACCGAGGGTTGGTTCAGAACTACTTTAATGTTATGGGCCCTGAGTTGGTCTACCGGGCCTACTCCACTTAGCATCAAGAGCTGTGGGCTTCCCAATGCACCAGCTGATAAGATGATCTCGTTTTTGGCCCCATTCTTAATATATGCTTTGTGCTTAGTCCTTGTTTCGTCTCTAAATATAACTCCATGGGCTCTTGGCCTTGTTCTTCCTGCCATTTCAGAGGTTTTCAATGGCTTTCAAGACACGAAGAAAAATAGAAACATGACGCAAATGTCTTCAATGTATAGTAACATAATGCGCTCGATTCGGTAAATGTTTTTTCAAAAAATAATAACAATTAACTTCTGGATCATACAGTAATTAATGATATTGCTGCAGACTCCTATGTTTGGTTTCCGAGAAAATAAAATGAAAACAAAAGCTGACAACTCAAAATTACTCACAATCAAAATCAAAAGAAAACAAGATGCTGCATCACTAATCCATTGTTGTCATATCTTGTTGTTTCTTAGCAACCAAACAGAGCAACCAGCGAAAAAAAAAAAAAAAAAAAAACGAAGAGCAAACAACAAATCTGGTACTTGTGGAAAGAATTGGAATCCCTTTCCTGTTACCGAAAACGAATGAACTTAATTAGATGACCATCAACAAACAACGCCCTTCCTAAAGCGATGAAGAAAACGAGAATTACAAGAAATGGCAGCCATATTTGAATATGAAAAACATGTTTTACGTAGAAAAATCAAAAGGGATGCCACGGGAAGCAACTTTGGACGGATCAGGGATGAAGGAGCTCTTGTTCTTTGCCAATCATGGAGAAAGCAAATCCTTTATAGGGAGCAAAATGGAAATCTCCGAAAAGGAAGTTGTTGGGAATGGGCCCAACATTCGATCCGGGTTATATATAACAGGCCCATTTGTTCTTTCGTGAACCCAAAATGAGGAGACATACCCATGTCGGTAGTAACACATGGGCCAATCGGATGCATACACATATGGACTCCTATCAGAATATGGAGCTATAAATATCCCTTAACTATCTCTATGCAAGGTATTAACTTCACTACGCTTCTCTCTCTGCAATTACTCTCGAGAGCTTCTCTTTCTAGATTTTGGAGTATTGCTAACTTGAGCGTCGGAGTGTTTTTCCCAAGGAAACATCCTCAGGATTTTCAGGTGTTGAAGTAGCTGAAGGTGTTTACAGCTTTAGTTGTACGGAAGGACTTGGGAAGCTACCCAAACATTTGGTGCCGTCTGTGGGAACTGAACAAAAAGTATTGCAGTTTAACTAGCTCGAGCTGAAAATGTTACTCACCTTTACAGGAAACCACCCCCCGAGAGGCAACATGGACCACCAGGACAGTACTCAGCTTTTGGAAAGTGACCTCAATGACTTTCAACCAATGCCAAGAAACCTTTTCGTGAGAGGAGCAGAAGAACAACAATCAAATACTTCAGATGATGAATGAACACCTACTGGGTATGCAACTCAACCTCAAGAATAGTTTCGCATCCCAGTTGAAGCCAGGCGAAGGCATTCCAGACAAAATATTTCACGACCTGAGAGACCCTTGGAAGCTGCTAGGACAACCGAGCTGGAAGAAAGAACTAGAGTTTTAGAAATGACCATGGGAAAAATCCTCTCTTGTCTGATCCCGGATGACTCCTTAATCCCTCTACTGAATAGAGGTGAACAGCCAGCAGCAGTAGTTGCAACTCGCAACTCCCCAGCTTTAAGTAATGTGGTGGTTCCAACCAAGCCAAGGGGAAGTGGAAGGCTAAATCCAGAGCCCAGCTCGTCCAAACACAGTGATGAATTAATGAAGAAAAATGCAAAACTTGAGAAATAGTTAAAAGACATACAAAGGTTTGTTGATGAGCTAAAGAGTCCAAGGTCACGACAACAAGCCTTAGATTTAGACAGTGCTCCTCTCAACCAATCCATTACTGCAAAACCATATCAGGAGGGATTTAAAATCCCCCATTTAGAAACATATGGTGGTTCTGGCGACTCGGATGAACACTTACACACTTATCAAGCCATCATGAAAATTCAGAATGCTATCGATGCAATGATGTGCAAAGTATTCCCCGCAACATTGAAATCTACTGCCAGAAGATGGTATCACAAGCTACCCAGACACTCTATAGCTTCGTACTCCCAACTCGCCACACTATTCTCTAACAACTTTGTGAGCCAAAGGGAGATAATGCGTACTGCTATTGAGTTAATGCAAGTTCACCAGAGGGAAGGAGAATCTTTGAGAGACTATATGCAAAGGTTCAACAAAGCCACCTTGGACATCGATAATGTCCTTAATACCATCTGTTTGTCTGCCTTACTGGACGGTCTAAAACCTGGTCGATTCCTGGACAACCTGCTAGAAAATCCACCGAAATCATGGAACGAAGTAAATGACAGGCCATCAAACTTCATATTGTCAAAAGATTTCCAATAATCTAAACGACGAGCTGACGATAGACAGAGTAAGGAGCACAAACAGCCAGAAGGAAGGGAAGAAAAGAAAAAGAAAAAGGTTGGTGAGCAGAGAGGAAAGCCACCTTCTTTCCCAAGATATGCTAATTATCTTCCGCTGAGCTCGTCAAGGTCCCAAATATTGGCACAGATACCACATTGGGTCAAGAGACCACCTTCTTAGATGCATGAGTACCCACAAGCCGACAGGAGCAAATATTGTGACTATCATCGTGGATACGGTCATAACACAGAAAACTATCAAAGCTTGAAGGACGAGTTGGAATTCTTAACTCGCAATAAAAAATTGGAGGGATATGTACAGAAACCCTACCCCCGGCAACCCAATTAGACCCACTTTGTGCAAGAATATTCCTGATCTCAGGGGCAAGGGTATCAGCTCGGCAACAATCAAAATTAGCTCGACAACAATCAAAATCCCTACCAGGGGAGTCAGCACTCATCTGAATCTGGCAGAACCTATAGAGGACGTCCATTTAACCAGCGAGGATAGGGACAAAAAAACCTCTTCACAAAACCAAAAAGACCATAGAGGGGTCGGTTACAATGGAATACCCTCGCCTTCTGGCACAATCAACATGATTTCTGGTGGCATGCATTCAGGAGGCCAAAGTGCCTGAGGTTGTAAAGCTTATGCTCGCCAAGTGATGACAGTAGACAAAAATAGGCCTTTAAAGCGGCCATTTGAGGAAGTAGACTGGGAGAATACACCCATTACATTCAATCTTGTTGATTATAAATGACTAGAGGAAGAACCTGATGTTGTGATGCCCCATGCTGACCCCTTCGTGGCAACAGTTCACGTAGGTAATCATAACGTCAATAAAGTCTTCGTCGATATGAGCAGCTCTCCTGATATCTTATATAGGAGCTGCTTCTAGAAGATGCAATTAAACTCAGCTTCCATGCAGAGATATGAAGGGCCTATATATGGGTTTGATAATCAGCCCGTCCCAGTTGAAGGGGCAATCACTCTTCCAATCTACGTGGGTACTGAGCCGCGATTTAGGATGGCATTTGTTAGCTTCTTGGTGGTTAAGATGGAGTTAGCTTACAATGCCATAATTGGGAGAGCCACACTTTGCGAGCTAAAAGCTATCGTTTCTCAATCGCACCTCTGCATGAAATTCCCAACTCCTCAGGGAGTAGGGGTGCTCAAAGGAAACCAAAAAATGGCTAAAGTATGCTACTAGGACACTTTCAAGAAAGTTGAACTTGCTGCAATGCCAAAAACTCCTTCTTCTCTGGTTACTAGACTAAGCCAATCAGATCTACAGGTGATGAGCATCTCTGACATAGACCACCGTCCAGAGAACATAGAACAGAAAGCTGAACTAGTTGAGCCAGTAGAAACCATTCCATTAAAACCCGACAAACCAGAAAAGACGGTAAAAATTGGGACTAAACTCACAGAAAAAGAGAGAGCAGAGCTCCTAGAGTTCTTAAAAGCCAACTAAGATGTTTTTGCGTGGACAACGGATGAAATGCTTGGAATTTCGGCAGAATTAGCAGTCGACAAGCTTAGCATAGACCCCACTAGAAGGCCAGTGGTTCAAAAATGTCGCCTTATGGGCCCAGAGAAGCAAGCTGCAATAGATGAGAGATATAGAAGTTGTTGAAAGCAGGTTGAATATTCACAATGGGTGTCAAATCCTATGCTTGTCAAGAAACGAAACGACAAGTGGAGAAATCTGCATTGACTTCACTAACTTGAATGAGGCATGCCCTAAGGACACCCACCCATTGCCAAATGTTGAAAAGTTAGTAGAACGAGTTGCTAGTCATGAACGCATGAGTTTTTTAGATGCCAGCTTAGGATATCATCAAGTTCAGCTATGGTTGGACAAACAAGAAAAGACGACATTCTATGTGGGGGATGCAATCTACTGTTCTGTTATGATATCGTTTGGCTTAAAGAATGCTGGCACGACCTATCAGAAGTTAGTTCAGATCGTCTTTAAGCTTCAGATAGTCTTTAAACTTCAGATCGTCTTTAAACTTCAGATCGGTAAGAACATTGAAGTATATGTTGATGATATGATTGTCACTAGCATACAAGCTAAAGATCATATTGACGACCTGAATGAAACGTTTCAAAACCTACGCCAAGCACAGATGAAGTTAAACCCACTAAAATGTACATTTTCTATGGAGTCAGACAAATTCCTGGGGTATGTAGTGTCCAAAAAAGGAATTGAGGTGAAGCTGGATAAGGTTGAGGCTATGCAGTAGATGGGACCTCCTAGGATAATAAAAGAGGTACAACGTCTAACAGGTCGTCTCGTTGCTCTGCACAGGTTCATCGCCAAGTCGGCAGAAAAGTGCATTTCATTCTTCAGAGCTTTGCGAGAACCAAAAAACTTCCAGTGGATGAATGAATGCCAACAGGCTTTTGATGAGTTTAAGCAATATCTAGCATCACCACCCTTGCTCTCTAAGCCTATTGAAGGAGAAAAATTATACTTGTATCTGGGATTACAGATGAGACAGTTAGCTCAGTTTTATTAAGGGAGCAAGATAAACATCAAAAGCCAATATGTTATATCAGTAAAGTCTTGCAAGGCGTAGAACGGAATTATCCTATTGTTGAAAAGGCTGCTTTTGCACTCGTTTTCACCGCCCAAAAGCTAAGGGCCTATTTCCAATCTCACGAAATTGTTGTCTACACTGACCTATCGCTGAAGAACATATTGTAGAAGCCGGAGCTTTCTAGTTGACTAATTGGGTGGGCGGTCGAGTTGGGTGAATATGACCTCAAGTTTCAACCATGCACAACAATAAAGGGTCAAGCTTTAGCAGACTTCATAGTGGAGTGCCACCCGCCAGCTATAGAAGAAGCCACGCCGTTAGGCTCGGTATGGGCTTTGTTTGTAGATGGGGCTGCAAATGTTGAAGGATCAAGGGTAGGGGCAGTGCTAATAGGCCTAAATGGTTTCAAATCTGAGCATGCACTGAGATTTAAATTTAAGACAACGAATAATGTCGCCGAATATGAAGCACTCATTTATGGTATGAAGCTAGCGTCCAAGCTGAAAGTGTAGAACATAAGAGTCTTCAGTAACTCTTAACTTGTAGTGAACCAAGTAAGCGGAAGTTGCGATATCAGAGACCTTTAGTTCGGTCGTTATGCCTCTGTGGTCAGCAGTATGAAGGCGAGCTTTATTTTGTTTCAGATTGATAAGATGCCAACAGCAAAAAATAGATGAGTTGATGAGTTATCAAAGCTGGCTTCGTCACAAGATTTCAATCCTCAGAGGACGACAGTCGTTGAGATCCTTGACGCATTAAGCTACACTAACCTGAAGGACGAATGCCTAAATTGAGTACAGATCCTTCCTCGCCGAGCTGGACTACACCCTTGATTAGTTACTTGCAGAATGGTGAATTGCTTGAGGATCCATCTAATACTCGATTGGTTAGGTGTAAGGCGACGCATTTTACCCTGATTAATGATCAGTTATATAAACGAGTAGCTTCAATGCCCCTTTTACGCTGTCTCACTCCCTATGAAGCTGAGTATACAGTAAAAGAAGTTCATGAAGAAGTATGTGGCACGCATATAGAAGGAAAGACCTTAGCTAAAAAAATTTTAAGACGGGGGTATTACTAGCCTACCATAGTCGAAGACGTGCAGAATTACGTTAAAAAGTGTTTGACCTGCCAATTCAACGCTGATGACATTCACATGCTAGGTATCTGAGCTCGTCCAAAGCTTTGCACAAACTTCATTCTTGTCTTTAACTAAACCAAAATCTCCTCGTAAACAGGGGAAATGTTATCTTTTCTCACATCGCCCTGCCTTTTTGCTCAATGGGGAGTTGATCTCCTCGGTCCCTTTTTCAAAGGCAAAAGAGATTGTACACACCTCATTGTTGCTGTAGATTACTTCAGTAAATGGATAGAAGCCAAACCGTTGTCCACAACAACTGAAAAAAAGATAGAGAAATTCCTATTTAATTCTATATTATGCATGTATTCTTTAGCTAATTAAACCTTATGCATTGTGCCTACACATATAGTGGCTCAGCCAAATCGTTTATGTACAGGTTTGGTATTCCCAAACAAATCATTGCTGATAATGGACCCCAATTCCGAGTTACGGCACTTAGGTCGTTCTGTGATAACTATGGTATCGAACTCTCCCTTATGTCCGTATACACTCCACAATCAAATGGGCAAGTAGAATCAGCTAATAAGATTGTCTTGCGTGGGCTTAAGACGCGCGTCTTAGCCACACACTCCAATTGGGTAGACAAGTTCAATAAGGTGTTATGGTCATGTTGTACTACTCCCAGCTCGGCCATTGGGGAAACCCCATTCTCCCTTGCTTATGGAGCCGAGGCTGTCCTTAGTGTGGAAGTAAGTTTATCGACTAACAAATTTGCCCGGCATGATAATCTTGATAATGAGCAACTCCTAAGAGAAAACTTAGATCTTGTGGAAGAGGTTAGGGAAATATCTAGGATTAAAAACATGGTGTATCAAGGCCGCATCACCAAGTTTTATAATAAGCAGGTTCGGGCTCGCCAATTTTAGGTTGGTGACCTAGTTTTACGCAAGGTTGGGCTCACCAATGCACATTCGCACATGGGCACACTCGTTCCTAATTGGGAAGGTCCTTACATGGTCATCCAAATCAAACGACCTGGGTCTTAAATATTAGCAGATTCACAAGGTTGATAACTACCATTCACATGGAATATTCATAATCTCAGGAAATTTTACAGTTAATTTGTATTATTACTTGACATGCTGAGAGAACGAAAAATATATGAATACAACATAAATAATACACGAAACATTCCAAAAGATTGTCTAGTTGTATTTCTTACAAGTTGTTACATGTGATATAAGAGCAAATACAAAAATTTATATTAGACATGGAAATATTAACACCAAAAATTCAAAAGAAAAAGATAAAGCTTAAATCCCAATCATACGTTAAATCAATGGGAATAGATGTGTCAGCACGAGCTGGAGAAGGAACAGTAGCAGTAGTGATGGGTTGAGGTGCGGGTGGAGTGCTTGAGTGTTCAGCTTCCTCCTTAGGTGCGTCCCCCACCCAGGAGTCGAACCTGGGCAGGTTCTTAAAATCCTCCCCCTCTTCCAAAACAGATGGAGGCCATATAGGCACTCCATCTTCGTTTAACTCCCACCTAAGCCGCACAATAGTATCAACGGGGGAAGCAAGGCTTTTACCCTCCTCGTTAAACTCTTCGCCCTAAAAAAACGCCAGCTCGCCTATTGGAAAGTCCGGTCGGTGCTTCAATACTGTTCCACAGACATCATTGTAGATCTCCATTGTGGTGTTCATGGAAGCCACAGCCATGACATCCTTGAACATATCAGCACCAACCAGCCACTTTGCTCCTTGAGCTTGGGCGATGCTTATGTATCGCTGATGTGAAGTTTTAGTGTTCCTTAGCCCCTCCTCCGCGTGGGCAAGATTTTGATCAGCCACTGCCACCCGTTGTCTAAAAGCGTTAAGCTCGTTGAGAGCGTTGTCCCGGTCAGCTTCTGCCCTCTTAGCGTGATCCACAGCACAAATGGCCTCATCCATTGTCGCTTGGATCCCGCTCTCCTTTTCGGCCTGAGCCTTCTCCAGTTCCTCCTTTAGCCGGTTAACTTTGTTGGCCAACTCATCAGCCCGGCTCTTGGCTGATGCAGCCTTGTTGGCCATCTCTGAGCTTTACAAGTGGTTAACCTCATCCTCTAAGCTTGCCTTGTCAGATGTCAAACAGTTGCAAGTGTCATTCAGCTCGTGATTTTGCCCATGAGCTACCTGCTCGCTCTCAAACAAAGCAACCGAATAGCTTAATGCCTGTAACGACATTTTTATAGTTAGTGTTTAATACAAAATTAATACAATAGGTAACATGATCGTTTAACAAAAATACTCACATCCATTAGCTTCAGCATAACAGCATGACTCCCGTGCTACTGAATGTAACCTTTGGCACGTTGATGGTCCGTAGGTGGAACAAAATTCTACATACCTTGAACCATGGTAGCCTGACAGTCAGCTTTCATATAGGTAAAACCTTCAAGGTTTGCAATCCTAAGACCCAAGCTTGATGTTAATGTTGGTAACACCTCAACTGTGTCATGTGCCTGGGCAGTGCACGCGTTAAGTGAACTACTGCACCAAATTGAGTCCCAAAATTCAATCTACGCTGAATCAGTGGCACGTCATCCTCAATGTCGAAATCTTTGCGAGCACGCCTCCGAGAGTCAGCAGAAATGGTTTCAACTCTACGCTCGTCGTGTGGCTGTGAAACCGAGCAAGATCCTCGCTCTCTTTGTGACGAGCTGTGAGGTGGAGCTACTGGTGGTCGCTCATCAAAGCACATTTGCCTATGCGTGCTAGACCTAGCACCTCGAGTTCGCGAGCGCTAAGCTCGTTCACGCTGTTTCTCAAGCATGCTACTTATCTCTCCTGCACAAACAACTGTAATAAGACTCAGCTCGGTGAAAAATTGTAATTTATAATAGAAATATACCTTCACTGAATAGGTTTGCGACATCCACAAACCCATGCACAGCGAGTACCTCAGGGGTAATTAGGGCCTCCAAATCAACTAACCCCTCTGCTCCTACATAGTCTGTTATTCTATCTTTAAGTTCCAGGTCATCAGGCCTTAGTGTGGGATAGTTCATATAGGTATGACCTAAGCGCCACCCAGAGAGGCGAGCAGCCAGATCGTTACTAATCCTCTCTGTTTGTATATCCCGGACAAAAACGAATTTTCTCTTCCATCTGGAGACCTTATTCCTCACATTGGTAAAAATCATCATTTTTTCTCTCTTAGAAATGTAGTACCACCTCGTTCAAGTGGTACTCAACCGGCACAAGAAGAGCGATCTGAACACCATTGCTTTTGCTGGTATCTCTAGCCTCGCACATAACAGCATAAATCCTATAATAAATTTTATGCTGTTGGGGCTTAATTGTGTCAGTGCCAGCTCATACTCTGCCAGAACGTCAAAAATTAGCCCGGGCAAAGGAAAACGCAAGCCGACATCGAAGTGATCCACATACATGGGTATCCACCCTGTTTGCGACACTGTGCAGACCCTTTCATTTTTGGTGCCAGTTTGGATCAAAATTGTTTTGGGGACGTGATACTACCTCACTATTTCCTCCAGTCTTTTATATCCTTTTATGGAGGTGGCGCTATCTACTACCTCATGATGAAGGTTTGCCTTGAACCTAAATCCAACAGCCAAAGTTTGTGGTGCCTTGCGAAGGTTGTTTAGTCTACCACTTATGGTCTTGCCTTCCCAACCTGCAACCACGGGCACATTCACATCCATGTCCACAGTTTCTGGAAAGGGGCTACTTACGCCCTCCTCCACACCTTCTCCACCACTTGGAGTCCTTTCTAAGGACAACCCTTTAGAGGGCGAAGAGTGATGACTACCGGAGCCCTTATGTGCACTCGAACTGGCACTGCTCTCGGGTGTAAGGGTTTTCGGCAAGTCTTGCAGTTCCGGTGGCACTATCATAACGATAGGCTTTATGGACATGACACCCTCTTCTTCTTCCTTACCCTAGTTACCCCAAAGTTCTCTAAGTTCTCTAAAAAATTCCATTTTTTACCTGAAAAATTTGAGCGTGAATCTCTTTGATATCCTTTGAAAATTTTGCTTCAAAAACTTCAGAGTCCTTTGCTGCAGAAAATCGTAGGGGATATGGTGAAAGAGAAATGCCAAAGGAGTTACGTGATTGTGCCCTTGATTATCGTACGCGCCTTTCTAACAACCAGTTAAAATCCTATACGTGGCAGCCATTTATGGCCTGACGTGTAATGTCCGTTAGCTTTAGCTGTCACGTCTTTTCAAATGCTGAACTAGCATTTATTGTGGGGAGGACAGAGGGATACTAACCGCTTTGAGCTATATCTCTTTAGAGATCTTGTTCCATATTGAAATTTAAATTTCAAAAATAACAAGGTTCAAGTCGTAATAAACTCGTTCTGTATTGAAATTTAAATTTCAGAAATAAGAGATTCAGGTCGTAGCAAAACGCATCTCCCCAAAGATCTGCCTTGGTTTAAATTTTGGAAAATCCCAGAGATCAGGTTGCTATTAAATTCCTCAGATTTGTCCCGTACTTCAGGGATTTACTTTATTATGATGATTGAGGTCGCGCACTTCAACTCATCGTAGTAATCACATCCCCTCAGTTTAGTTTTAGCTTATCCTTGTAATAACGATGACCTCAATACTTCGCCTTAGAACTTTTGAAAGGCCATCGTGGTCCAGATCGTCAAATGTTTGCTCACCTTCATGTTTGTATAGACGAACTCACTATATAACGCATGGCATCTAGTATATGGCACACACCTTACCAAGAGATCTCACCTCTTTCTAGATCTACTCCATTTGGAAGTTAGAAATTCATCGCACAAGCCCGCCTTTGTGAACTCACTAAACTCATTAATGAACGTCGAATTCGTATAAATAAGATTGCCTCGACGTCAGCTCATCCACACATGCTCGATGTGAATTCGATTTATCCTTAGATGCCTAATGAGGTCACCTTGAGTTCAGGTCGCCCATTTCGGCCACAGGCGAGATCACTCAAGATCCAAAAATGTTTGCCCCCCATTTTCTAGGTTGAACATTGGGCCAAAAGAGCTTTCAACCCAGTTCGTCAACTGAACACTGAGGGGGGAGTAATGTTGGGAATGGGCCCAACATCCGATCCAAGTTATATACAACAGGCCTAATTGTACTTTCGTGAGCCCAAAATGAGGAGACATACCTACGTGGGTAGTAACACGTGGATCAATAGGATGTATACACATATAGACTCCTATCAGAATATGGGGCTATAAATAACCCCCAATTAGCTCTATGCAAGGTTTTAACTCCATTACGCTTCTCTCTGTGCAATTACTCTCAAGAGCTTCTCTCTCTAGATTTCGGAGTACTACTAACTTGAGCGTTGGAGTGTTTTCTCTGAGGAAACATCCTCGAGATTTTCAGGTGTTGAAGTAGCTGAAGGTGTTTACAGCTTAAGTTGTATGGAAGGGCCTAGGAAGCTACCCAAACAGAAGTGAGAAAAGCAAAGGGAGTTCAGGGTTTTGTACTTCCCATGCAGGCATCAAAATCTACCTATGTAGGAGCACGACGAAGAATAATTTATTCACATGACAAGCACAAGGGAATGTTTGTCACTCTGTCTGACTGGCTTGTGCTTTTTTCATTGATTAATATCAGGTTTGCGGGATGGGCGGGATCGAGGGACTGCAGGAGAGTTCTCGTTCAGCAAATATCCGAAAACTTTCTAGTGTTTTGAATTGATTAAAAAATGTTTGGAGTGGTTCCTCTCTGCTCTTTTTGTACTGTCGTCTAAGATTCATAAAAATGAAGCTAATGATTTAAGGTTAAATACCCTTTTTGGTCCCTCTACTATAAGAAAAAGCCCTTTTTTGGTCCCTATACCAAAAAAATCCCCTTTTTGGTCCTTACTGTTCACAAATCCGGCCCCTTTTTAATCCCTCCGTTAAATTTTAACTGATGTGGCAAGTTAATTAACGGAAACACTCATTTCTTTTTTTTATTAAATTCCGTGGATTTTCCAATGGCAAAAATTGATGACATGCTAAATTTTTTACTTTTAATTACTGATATACCCTCATCTTCTTCCCCGACTTCTCCTTCCTCCAGCCTTTTTTCTTCTTTTACCTTCGGGCAAACCCAAGAGCCTGGGTTCGCAAAACCTAAAAAGCAGCCATAACGAACAAACAAAATGAACCAACCAATGTTAATATGAAGGAGAAAAAGGCTCCTGGGTTGCTCGCGAACCCAGCTCATGGATGTGTATATAAATTTATTTGTTCCGAGTAAGAATTAAGACAAGATCGGGGGGGTTTCCATGGATGGTGGTTGAGAGATGGCGGTGGAGTTGATGGGTTATAACGGTGGTAGTTTTTCAGCCAAGATGGAGGAGAGTGCTGTTAGAGATGCTGCGACTGCTGGGATTGAAGGAGTCCAGGAGCTGTTAAGATTGATCTCGGAAACTCAACCGAAGGATTTGAACGTAGATGCCTCCTTCAGAAATAAGGAACCCGCCGTGGAAATCAACGCCGTCGCCGATGTTGTCGTCAATCATTTCAAAAAAATGATTTCTTTACTGGGTCGACTGAGAACTGGACATGCGCGGTTCAGAAGGGCCCCGATGTGTTCACCGCCAGAGCAACCGGAGCAGAAGATTCAAAAACCAGGACCTTCCGTTCAGGCCCCCAATCCCCAACACAAAGATCTGGTTTTTGCTTTCAGGGTCTATTGCCCCACCCCAGTTCATCGTCTCCCTCCTCTGCTTTCAGGCTCTTGGGTTCGCGAGGTGCGAACCCAGGCACCCAGTAGCTGGGTTCGCACACCCAAGAGCCTGGGTTCCTCGCGAACCCATCGCCTAGAGGTAAAAAGAGAAAAAGGTAAAAAAGAAAAGACCGGACGAAGGAGAGGATGGGGAAGAAAGAAGGGGGTAAATTAGTAATTGAAAGAAAAAATTTTACCATGTCATCAATCTTTGCGGGTAAATTAGTAATTAAAAATAAAAAATTTAGCATGTCATCAATTTTTTTCACGTGGATTTTTCACGTAATTTAATAAAAAAAACAAAATGAATTTTTCTGTTAATTAACCTGCCACATCAGCTAAAATTTAATGGAGGGACTAAAAAAGGACCGGATTTGTGAATAGTAAAGATAAAAAGGGGATTTTTTCGGTACAAGAACAAAAAAAGGACTTTTTCCTATAGTAGAAGGACCAAAAAGGGTATTTAACCATGATTTAAATAAGTTAAGGGTGCTTATTTTGCAGTAGGGATGGTGTTAGCTAGGTTGTAAAATATTACTCTTTAGATAAAAATGTAATTTGATA